ATTATCTAGTATTTGTGTAAAAATAAAGAGTTTTGGATTTTGTTTTGGATTGGTCTTATTGTTAACGTGGAATATGAACTCCTGGTTCCATGGGATTGGAAATATTAAAAAAAAGTTAAACGTTTAAATATAAACAGCAGAAAATAATATAACCTCATAAAAATTTTTTTAAATGAGATATATGAAATTAACTTTTTAATTGTATCGGTATACTTAAAACGAGCGTAATTATCTTAATATGGTTGCCACACATGTAAAACGTGCACCAATGCATAGGAGAGGTCACGTAAAAATCCATTGTTGACCAAGACGGTCAAGGCATTGTAAAACATTGTTAAGTAATCAATGAAAGGAAATAACAGTAATAAGCCAAAGAAGGAATTAAATGGCGCGAACACTTTCCCCACCTCTATAATTACTTCTAAACTTCAAAAGTTAATCATATTAAAGGTCAGATCGTGAAGAAAAGATTTGTGACCAAAAACCGCTGGTTCACCGTTTCATATTTTGTGAAAAACCTTTGATTGGCCATCATTCATCTCGTATTGGCTTCTTTCATTGAAAACTTTGAGATTCTTTATTTTGTAAATTTATTTTATTTCACATATTTTTATCTATTTTAGCGTTGCTTATATCAACTTTAATTCAAACTTGCTCATTAATTTGTAATCAAGTTTTGGAATGAGACTAGATTTAGAAAAAACTTTTGCTCGGCCGCCTACCCTAGTTGCTAAGCACTTTTTGATAAGTGCGCAACTTTTTATGCTCCTTTTTTTAAAACACCTGAAACTTGGGCAGATTTATCAAAACGAGCGCATGCTTTTCCTCAATTTGGCTAAAGAGCCGGTGTTTAACGCCCGCGCGTCTTTTGCCACTTTAATCAGCAAAATTATAATCCCGGCACTGCCACAACAATAAGCTCGCCTCAATTCCCAGAAGACGTTTGTTTCCTGAGCATTCCAGAATATTCTCCCCGAGCGACGCAAACACCAAGTGTGCATCTGCAATTAATCAGATTAATGTAACGTAATTGAATTCGGGAGCGCTGTTGCTTTTAATTAAGGCGGACGGTTATGATTTTGCCGGTGGTGCGGTTCAAGTTATTGCCGTTCCGATTCAATTAGCGACGCGTGCGGTTTGCGATTGGACGTACCGACGTGTGTGTATGGTTGTTGCGTCGCGTGTCGACGAGACGCCCCTGCATATTCCGATTCATTATTTATCGCGCGTCTGCCCCGCCACGACGACGAGAGCCTCCATACACCGACCCTTCCACTCCGCAACGTCACTTTGCCTCCAAATTGTTGTGCACACACACACACACATCAGACCGAGTTGCGAAAAACTGCTGATGTCGATCGATGCGTGTCCCATCGACCCCCTCTCCACTTCAATTTAACGCAATTTGTCACAACAGCATTTGGTTATCAATCAGGTGATTATTCACATTTGATTTCTAAAATTGAATCACACGCTTGAGATCATCTAGCGATTTTTAATTTTATTTTTATGTATATCAAATATAAATAAAACAATTTAGTTGAAAAAATGTAATGAAAAATTTATGAATCTACTAAAATATTAAGTAATATTTAACATATTTAATTTCCATAAAAAGTGTTGATTTTGGAGAAATATATAATGACGATAAAACCCACAAATTCTTTACCCTTTAAATTATTTGCAAATTACAAAATAAAAAGAAACCCAGTATATTTGAAAATTTGAAAAGAAATTTTAATCAACTCTTGCGCATCTCCCTTCAATGTCTCTCATTAAGAATTCCACGTTTCCATATTCAACATATAACTTGCATGCGGAAAATGGACTGCCATCTAGTTAGGTTTTTTTTTTTGCTCAGTGAGTAGTTTTATTGTTCAAACTTTCAAACTTTTCCTCCAATGAAAAATTGAGCCGGAATGGGAGCAACGCGCTTTCCTCATTGGGAAACGGATTGTTTATCCTACATTTGCATGGAAACACTATGAGTTTTGTTTACGACCTGCTGCAGCTTTGCGTCATGAACTCCGCACCGCTCTCTCTCCTCGTTCTCTTAACACAAGTAACTCATCTAGCTGAACAATAACATAGAATTGCGGTCGATCTGCGCATTTACTTGGCTTATACGCTCTCTAACAATTTCATATATTTTAAGTAATTAGGACAAGAAAATTTCATTTTTTTTTATAATTACCTTATTACGGCAAATCTGATACAAATTATATTTATTTGAAACTTTTTTATACATTAAAAAAAAGCTAATTTTGTAGACCTACAATAATTAAAGTAGATTTTTGAAACAAAAAAAAAATGTCAGTAAAAGCCACATTATTTAGACATTTGATAAAAAGATACCTTCTCTTGTGACATTTTTCCAATTAAAGCTTCAGCCTCCTTTTGAAAATTCAATTTTTTGGTCGACTGCGCCACATTAGCGGTGAAAACAATTGCGAAAAAGCGTCATCCATATTCATTTGGCGCACCCTGACACCATCGACGGGCGCTAAGCCGCTGCAGCGAAATAATAATTTGCGCCGTGAATGCATAATTTCGGGGCTAATTGGGCCGGGGCCGAATCAGCGGAAATCTCATCCACCGTTGTTAACAAACAAACAAGCGTCTCTCTCCTCCACCGCATTACCCGAAACAATTGTGTGTGTGTGTGGCAAGGCAAAAGTGGAGCGTCTGAATCTTTTATGCTCTCCGCAAACCAAATGATTCAATTATCATCCATGCTCTTCCGCTGGCGAAACGAACGCAAAATGTGTCGCACAATAATTTATGGTCTCTCTCTCTCTCTTGCTCGTCCCGAGCGTAATTACTCGGTAATTATTTACACCCTGACCTCTTTTGCATTAATTAAGCACCTTCTTAGTGCACAGGAAATTGAAACTTGCATCGTCCCTCTTGCTCAACTTTAACAAAGGTGTGGCGCAACAACAATCTCAACAAAAGCTTTATTAACAATTTGTCCAAAGTAAAATACAAACGAAAAATAAATAAGCAGCAATTTTTCAATCATAAAATTATAGTTTGAAAACATTTGAAACTAATTTATTTGCTTGATGTAAAGTAAAAAGTACTTTACTTAAATTTAATTAATATTTTACAATGAATTCCTATTTTTTTGAATAAAACAATTTATTTAAATAATTATAACAAATTTTAAGGCAATTAATTAAATTTTGAGTCCAGAATTAAGATTTAACTTGGCCTAATTTTTAAAAATATCACCGCTTCAGCCTTTTAATTAGTTCTGTGGTTTTTCCCATCCACAAAACTAATTTAAATATATTCTGGAATGAACTTTTAGGTCTAAATCCCAATCTTTTGGGTGCTTTGTGAACCCTTATTTTTCAAATTGTCAACTCTTAACTTTTCAAACATCATTCGCCTCTTCATTTGTAGAAACGAAATGAGGAAAAACTTTCCAACCCTTTGTTTATTGGGCCCATTTTTCTTCTCTGCGTGTTTTTTTCTTTCTTTAAAATTCCCAACGTGAATAATTTAGGCAGGCGTGTTATTCAGCCAACAACTTGGCTAATTTGTCAAAGTAGTATCAAGTTGCAGCAACTAAAGAAATTAATAAAAGGAGAGAAAGAGCTGTCGGGCGCAGCCCCCCAGGAATTTTCACCCGAGTGAACTCGCGGTGCGCGTTTTTTCACTCTGGACCGTTCCGCCGCCATTGGAGTGCCAAACAAAAAGAGGTCAAAACCACCAAGGCAAATAATGGGCGTAATCGCCTTAAAATCTTTGGACCATTTTTCTGGAGGCGAAGCGAGACAAAAACAAATGAGCGTGAATTAAAAGAGACATCGTTGTTTTTAATCCTATTAAATGAGCACGCGGCGTTTAACGTTGAAATTTTCGCCGCCGCCGCCGTGTGCAGCCTGATGAATTGAATTAAACAGCACATTTGTCTGCCAAATATAAATACAAACAAAGAAAGTTAACCGAGTGTGTTGCCAGGCTGAAATGAGAGAGAGTCTGAGCGAGGAGAGCGCGAAAATTTTGTTCCGTTTGTTACGAAATGGTGCAAAAACAGCACCAACAAGCTAATATGTTTTGCTATTTTATCATTTCCGCAAATTAATTAATAGAGTGCAGATGAAAAAATATGGTATAAAATTGAGAGGTATCTTCAAAAAATTTTGAAGATGGTGGCGGCTAAAATGATACAAATTTCATTTCTCATATAATTAAATTATGCAAGCAACAGAATTCTAGATTATTTATTTTCCTAAAATATATGTATCAACAACTTAAAGAATAAAATATTTTTAATGAAGACGCAACAGAATTTTAAAAAATATTTCTTTGATGGAAGAAATTGATTCAGATTATTGTTGCCAAAATTAAGAAGCGCCCCCATTTTGAAAAAAAAAATTAGAGTCAATTAATTTTCTGAAAATATTTTAAATATAGATATGCTCATTGTCAGCTTACATAAATTGAAGTTGCTCTTAATTGCAGTCGTTTTTTTACTGTTGTTTACGGGTCCACATTGTTAAAAATAATACATTGTGAAATTTTTGGAAAAATATTATTTACAAAAGGAATTGTTGGAGACAACGGCACCACCACTAGCAAGAATTTTGCTAAAACTTCCAAGATTAAAAAAATCCCATCCGCCGCAGTGAGCCTCGGTTGACGAAGATTTTGTTCTTATCAATTATCGCAAATTTTCCCTCAAAGGTGTAGTTCTCGGTAAAGTATAAACGTGTGATGCAAAAAAGTGAAAAGTGCGAAACGCCAATCCATTTCCATCAGAGTCTAGAAAATTGGCTTTATAGACGAAAGCAAGCGCGGTGAACCCTTTGAAATCGGTTGTTATGTTACGCCATGAGAGGCCATCCCGCGGAATGGCTCAATTTCGGTGCTGCAGACTGGTGGATGGGGCGAAACCATTCGTTCTGCAGCAGCCAGCGCGTGTTCATATTTCATCAAAGGCCTCTGGAGAGATTTGGTAAATAATTGAGAGGGCGACTCTTGTGTTGCAGGTGGCTCCATCCGCTTCCTGCGCCGCGCTTTCTCTCCTAGCGATATTGGATTGTGCAGAAAGGTAAGGCCGAATTACGTGCAATATTTGCCGAGAGTTTTTCGAGTGGAATTCCGTGTCGGGAATAATATTTGCAACGCAAATAAGCCGCACGCCGAAAGAAAGAAAGAGAAAATATTTCGCTGTCTTGAGAGCGCATCTAGAAAAAAAACAGCACGCGGGGAGGAGAGAAAAAAGATAAAAAAATTCGCTGACAAGCACATGCACACAGCACAAATAAATTTCACGCAAACAAAGAAGCGTTTTGCCCGTGAGCGGAATATTTAGCCGGCAGCGGATGCGAAAGCAAACAAGCAGCAGCCGGGACTTTGTGAAATTACAACAACTTGAGAGCAAGTGAGGGCGCGCAATTGAGTTTTGTTCAGAAGTGTGTCAGCTGCCGGCTATTTTTTCACTCTCACTTAAATGCCATTCAAAAGATTTCAGAGAGTCACATTCATTTAAGTTTTCTGGGGGGGAAAACTAAAAAAATACAAGTTAATTTAAGGTTTCTTGTTTCATATTTATAAAATAAAATAAAACAGATAATTCACGACAAAACAATAATAACGCCTCAACGGTACTATTTTAATTAATTTTTGAAAAATAATTAAAAAAATTTCATTAGGTAACAATTAAAGTTCGTTTCACCAATTACGATTCAAAATTAACTTCATAATCATTTCCAAAATGATTGATATTTTCAGTTTGTATTTTATTGCTTTAATTTAATTCGGTGTAGCACAAATGAAATGGAACAGACAAAACGCAAAGCCCTTTTCCAGGTAATCACATCTTGAGAGATGTTTAACTCTGGAGCTTTGGCATCTCGATCGGCCTACCACAAAAAGGGTCAGGGCTCTCTGTCAGTGTGTGTTGCGGGAAGCCTATATAAGATTCAGTGTGCGGCTTGTTTGTTTGCGGACTCCTCGAGTCTGGAGCTAGGCTTCATCTAAACCCGGCTCTAAATATAGGGAGGGAGTATCAATGGCACCCTTTATTTTACGAGCAGCTCCACGGTGGCTGCTTTTCTTCCTCTCTCAAGGCGAAAGATAACATGTGAATATGGCCGTGCCTAAATACGCTCGCCCGTCAGGCGTTTTTCCTCCTTACGCTTTTTTGCGCATGCACCTTGAAAGGGAGACGTGAAATTCGAGAGGGAAACAAAGAGGCAGCTGCAACGCCATTTGAACTTGAATTAAGGTCGCTACGTGCGTTTCGCGCACAACTTTTTTACCCATTTGCAACCGGTGTTGCCGCGAAAAGGGAAGAGAGAATTTCGTTCTTCGCGAAGCAGATAGGCGGAGGTGGAATAACATTTGAATATTTTCTTATTCACCTCAAGCGTCGAGCTTGAAGCCAAATTTTATTTAAGCACCAACAACAGTAATGCCTGGAGCTCGGTGAATTAATGAATTTATTCCAAATTGGTGGATTATTGTCGCCTGAATTTCGAGCAAATTTTAAAACGACTTCAGCTAAGTTGCATTGGGAAATATTTGTAATCATTTAAAAACTGAGCGACGGAATTAGTCAAAAAAGTCGTGTAATTATCATTAATAGATCAGATTTTATACATATTTTTTACTTTTAGAAAAACAATGAAGTTAAACAAATTTGATCTTCTCTATGACTGTAAAGATTAAAATATTTTACAACCGCTTTTTCGTTTTTTGTGTCAGCGAGTGTAAAAAAATAAAATAAAATGCAACTTTAAATGAGGCGTTGAGCGAGTTTTCAAATAAAAATAAATGCACTCTTGTGGAACGCAATTCAGGGCCGATTGGTTTCGAAATTCGGCCGTTGCATGGTGTATCGGAAACGGGCTGCACCCTTCACCGTCCTGACAAATTAAATGTAGCGTGAATCGCATTCCACGGCGCCAGATGAGATCAGGCTGCGGGAGGCTGCGCAGGATTTCATTAGTAGTTAGTGGGGCGAAAGAAATCATCAGCAGCAGGGCAGTTGGTCGCACCCCTGCTGCGAGCTTAATTGAATCGAATGGCCAATTAAGTGACAGGGTCCAGACAAAGAGAAAAAGAGAGCAAAAGCCATCAAATCTCCGGTGACCGCAGTCAAAATTCAAATGTAAAAGCTCAAACAAAAAAGGAAAAGGGCCCAGAAGTGCAGTTTGCAGCGAGGATGAAATAAGCGGCCGGAAAACTAGCACCGCACTACTTTACCTATCCCTCATTCCGCCCCTAACGAACAATATAAAATATTACTAAATCACCGCTCCCTGCGGAGTGGTTGGTTCGCTCGCTCGCTCGCTCGGTGAGCTGCTGGCTGGGTAGGTCGGTGTGCTCTGCTGGCTCAGCAGCATTTTCCTTGCAGATGATGCAATAATTATGAGCTCTCCCTACCAGCCAGCTTGCTCTCTCTCTCTCTCTTCATAAACAAGAAAACGCCCGTGAAATGGGTGCTATAATTTTGCGGCCGTTTTGAGGATTGCGCAGCTCTTCGGAGGGCAAAAATGTGCTGATCCAATCTGCCTTTAGCTGCCTCCAGTCGGCCGTAAAGACTTCGCCACCTCGGTGCAGATTTCCACGCGAATCGAAACATTATAATTTTGTCAAACTCTTTGTCTCTCTTTCTCCGCACGATAAAAGTTTTACGACTTCATGTCTATATATATTATCTTAGGCAGGGCTTCTTGCTCTCCTTAATTAAAAATTCGCCTCCAGTGCTTTGCTCTCTCCTTGCCTTGTCTGTCGTTTTGCTGAAAATATACGACTGCTCTTATTAATTCAAAGCACCTGCTCGACTCATTCTGCTTCATGTGAAATTATATACCAGACACCGTCTTCTGCGATTACTGCCACTAACTTATCTTTTAACCTTATATGTTTTTGGCAAAAGGTAACACGTTGATTGCACACTTAAGTTGATGCAAATTATCAGCGTGGATTTCAACTTTTGACATATATATTATTTAAAGTTGCTCGTGTTTTCTTATGTTTTACCTGCTTTTGCCATTAAAATTTTTAATCGTCTTATTTCTATACTGAACAGCAGTTTTGTAACAAATTTTGAAAATTTTCCACAGAGAATAATCAGTTTTTGATTTATTAAAATCTTACGCAAAAAGCTTCCTATACGACCCAGTTTGGGATTTTGTACAATTTATATAAATATTGAACATAAAAAAATTTTGCAGATAAAAATTTCTCCAAATTTTTACATGACTTTAGTTGTTATTCATAACAAAAATTAGAATTAAACTGAATGCTGAATTTTTTTTATATTTTATGCAGATTTAAAACTATTGCCTAAACTTTGATTACATTTTAAAGTACTCTTTGTCACCACGTGACATGTTGATGAAATAATTTAATAACCGAGTCATAAAGCCGTTGTGCTGGAAATTAGCTTGGAAGATTTATTTTTGCACTGCGGCTAATTGAGTTTGTTGTTTCCTAATTCCGGTAGGAGACGGCGCTTCTTCTTACTTAATATGCGCAATTTTCGGAAAATTAATACTGCTCCTTAAGGAGAGGCAGCAGCAGGCAAAGTTGTTTGTATATATATTTTGAGCCGGATTTTGCAGCAAAAGCAACTTGGCCGCCGAGAGCAGGAATAAACTGGAAACACCGCGTGCATTTATACGGCGGGTAGGGCGGACCGTAATGTGTTGTAAAAGGACAAGACCCTCTTTCACGTGCGCGCCAGCAGTTTCTTATTAAAATTTTATTCCGGCGGCGCACAGCACACACCTGTATTCGCCGGAATTCGCTCGCCTTGCGTCATATTAATTTCAAAAGTTTCCTCCACCATCCTGGGCGAAAACGTAATGAGGGTGTCACATTACTGAATCATTTGAATTCGTCTCTCCAACGACGACGAGCCTCTTATACCATTGCTCCGCCAAAACTCTCCCGGATTCGCCATATTTGATATTTAATTCACGTGGCCCGGATAATTTTATTTCGAGCGGCCTCTAATGGATATTGGTCCTCCGCCCCGTTTATTACCTCTGCGTGTGCGGTGCGCCGTAAAATGGACACCATATTCATTGTAAATCAGCTTTGTCAGAACTAATGCCAACCGAAAGCAGTGTGCTGTTATTTTAAGGGGCCTTTGCTGAAATTAATTAATCATTGCTAGCACTGGTAATCCCTAAATTTGCTTTTGCCCAGTGCGTGGGGTGCATAATTTACAGTTGGAAAACGATGAAGGCTTAAATTTTGGCATAATGTTTACAACAGGGAAGAGAAGCAGCATTTTAAGTGACCTTTAAAAAATAAATCTCTATAAAAATAGATTTCTTGAAATTGAAATTTAATCACACAATCTGTTTTATAAATAGGCTTTTTTAAGTTCAACTGTTGACTTATTGGAGAATTCAACATGAAATTTATCGATAAGTATTGAATTGAGCGAATAAAGAAGCCCTCGTAAAGTTTGAATCTCTCTCTCGCCTCAAATCAAAACTCAATTTGCTAGCGTTCGAGACGTTGGAGACAAAACAATTTTCCGAGGCACAAACGAGGTAACAGGTATGGAAACGTCTGAAAAGATCAGATCACAACCTGCTGCGCACACACACTCACTCACTTTGAATATACATACACACCTGAGTCGGGTAGTGGCGCAGTCAAATTCAATTCCCGCGATTGGTTCTGGAACGAAACTCCAAGGGTGCACAATAGACTGCCTTAATTGGATTCACCGATTGAAGTAGGCAGAGCGAATCACTCAAACAAGCGCGAGCTGACAATCAAAACACGTGGCTGGCGCGCGGTGGAATTTAGCCTCATGCCCCATTAAATTTGATCCTGGCTGTAGGCAAGGTCCCCTTCGGAACATCGACGGCCATAAATTCGGTCCCGCGAGCCAATAAAGAATGAAAAAGTGCACCATGTGCTGGCGCAATTTGGTGTGTGCACGCGGAATATCGAGTGGGCCGTCGAGAGGTGGGTGGGGGGGGGGGGGTAATAAATGCCACGCTTTATTGGCCAACTCGGACACACGCCGCTGTCACAAATCCGTCTTCCTCGGATTCAATCTCGGCTCGCACATTGCTG